GAAAAATACTGGATGGGTGTATTCCCCGCTCGAGCGCCCAAACCCCCGCTCGAGCGTACAGGCCAAAATCTGGGCAACTAGTTTTGGTTTCTAAACTCCACCAACCTGTAACAAACCCGCCCAACACATCCTATAACTCAAATACAAAGTAAGAAAGGATGTAAACAAGATAATAAACAACTACCAACATCCACGGACACATGTCCGGATCACTGAACAACAAGGGTAAACCCGGGATCGCTATAAAGTACACTTATTTAGTCTTCCCAAACTTAGCCTACCCCTATATTAGTTTCATGACTATGAACCCTATATTGGTTTCATGACTACGAATTGACCTAATAAATCACTTTATCAAGTGTAGTGCTCATATTTGAATCTTAATCTTAATTTCTCTCTTTTACCCAATTTTAGAATCTACATCATTAAATGCATTATAATACAAATCATACATCATTAAGGTCAAGTTTGGCAACCCTAATACAATCCATCTTTTTATCTTTTTTCAATCACATCATCTCTCTACTTTTCTGTACATCTTTTCGTAAAAAGACAAAAAGTGTACTTATTTAAGTCATCCCAAACAACCTCTAAATGTATTATTAGAATCTACATCATTAATTTAGCCTAACCCTATATTAGTTTCATGACTATGAACCCTATATTGGTTTCATGACTACGAATTGACCTAATAAATCACTTTATCAAGTGTAGTGCTCAGATTTGAATCTTAATCTTAATACAACCCTTATTTCTCTCTTTTACCCAATTTTAGAATCTACATCATTAAATGCATTATAATACAAATCATACATCATTAAGGTCAAGTTTGGCAACCCCAATACAATCCATCTTTTTATCTTTTTTCCATCACATCATCTCTCTACTTTTCTGTACATCTTTTCGTAAAAAGACAAAAAGTGTACTTATTTAAGTCATCCCAAACAACCTCTAAATGTATTATTAGAATCTTTATTAAAGGTTTGTTTGGGATAACCTAAATAAGTGTATTTTTTGTCTTTTTACGAAAAGATGTGCAGAAAAGTAGAAAGGTGATATGATGAAAAAAAGATAAAAAGATAGATTATTTTGTGTATGCCAAACTTGGACTAAGTGTATTATTAGAATCTACGTCATTAAGTATATAGCAAATCAAAAAATAATATAAATCATATCACATAATTCTATCATATATTTAATAATCTATTACATCTAATTTCATAAAATAATATTTTAATTTTTAAAAAATTATTAAGATATAAAATTTAAACATATTATAATAATAATGCCTGAATCTTATTTTTCAAATTAATATATATATATATATATATATATGTGTGTGTGTATGTATAGGTGTGTATGTATAGGGCTCATTTAGGAAGGAAGTGTTTGGGGTTTTTTTAACTAAAATAGTTATAAAAAATAAAATAAACCTTTTAATATAATAAGACAAAATATCACATTTAATTCATAATTTACATTCTTTCTCTCACAAGAAAATTAAAAAAATTAAAAAATCATTCCAAACTTTTTACAACCATACTGGGACCCAGCACTCCCAGTCCACGTGGAGGGCTGCAAAATGACAAGAAAAAGAAATAAAAAATTTTTGTTTTTTTGACCAATCAGACCCCACTGGGTCCTGGGTCACCCTTCAATGGGGTTTGATGCATTTCTCAACTTTTTAACTCCAGACTAAAAAAAAAAATAATCAAAAAATCAATCCCCCCTTGCAAGGCAACCCCGTACAAAGTGGAAGGTATAGTAGTGGTAGGTAGGGGGATACAAAAGAAATGAAAGAAAAAAAAAGTGAAGGGGTTTGGGGGTTAGTATTGGGGGTTGGGGATTGCATCGATAATATGTGGGAGGAAGAAGAGGAACAAATTTGGGAGTGGGAAGGTCAAATTCCGTATGGGCGAAACTGAGGAACCAACCCATCTACTCACCACCACAATCTCCCTCCTCCTCCGTCTTCCTCATCTCTCCACAACTCTACTTCTCACTACCACCGCCGCTCACCCCCCAACTCCACTTCTCACCACCACCACTGACTACCTCCGTCCTCATGTCTCCACGACTCCACTTCTCACCACCACCACCACCACCACCACCGATCGGATGTTGCTAGAACGACAGCCAGTTGCTTCGACTACAATCCAATGCTGCCGAGATGCGTCAACTATTCTTCGAAATGGAACACATTTTCTTCGGTGATAATATCTCCTCTCTCCTCTCTGTCTCCCTTGTCCATTCACATTGCTTTGCTTTTTTACTTTTCTTTCTTAAATAAAAAAAAAAAAGAAAGGGTAAATTATTATAACTTTTTACATCAAATTTCACTTTAATAATGGTGATAGTATACCTCTTATATTTTTGGTCAAATTACAGCACTGACGCTGTTTGGGAACTCGATTTTTTGTTTTTTTTTTATTTTTTTTATTTTTTATTTTACTAAATGACAAATTGGTTACAAAAACAAAAAAATAAATAAAATCCAAACAAAATAGCACATCAAATCTCATAATCATTTTATTTTTTCTCTTACAAACATCACATCCAACCAAAAAAAAACCCAATTATCTTTTCAAACACAAAAAACAATTTCTCCAATAATATCCTACAATTAAAAAAAACTTATAAAAAAACCTACTTCCTAAACACCCACAGTATGCTCTTAGGATTTTTTTTTTTTCACTAGTAAAATTATAGAAAAGATTACTTTTATTATTATTATTATTATTATCATTATTATTTATACCTCATGCGAGGTTCACGTCCCAAAGGATCATAGGCTCCGGTTGTTTGATGGATGTATTACGTTGGATGTGATCGTGTTTAGTTGTTATTTAGGTGGAATATATAAGATAAATTGTATTTATTTATAAATTACAGTAATATTTTTAGTTGATTGGCATTAAATTTATAGAGTAATATTTTTAGTTGATTGGCATTAAATTTATAACTTTATGTAAAATAATCCCAAAATATATATTATGTAATTTTATTATTTTTGTAAAGTGGAGATGAATTAGTAATTTCATGAGATTAGATTGTGAATCGAAAGTGTACGGGAAAGAAATACACCTTCTCGTATAATCATGTTGACTAAGTCTGTGCTCCTCCGTACGACGTCGCTTTATCACCTGAAAATGCAAACGTGAGCTAGCCGGCGGGTGTGTGCCGAAAACCTCTCCGATGCCTAAGTCAGCAAACTTGACAAGTAGACAAAGCTCTGTGTAAAAAGCAAAGTTGTGTGTTACCTCCTCCAAGGCGATGTTTGTGAGCTTTTATAGGTTTCGTGTGGCACAATCCTAGTAGGACTCATACTCCTCCATGCAGAGTCCTTCTAGGATTCATACTCCTGAAAGATAATGCTTATCCTTCAACACCCCTCACAGCTTAAACCAAGTGAGATGGTTTTTACTATGGCCGAACTACGACATGACTGAAATAAAACTGGCTATGCTGAGCAACAAAGTAGGCCGAACTATCCTTAGTTCGGTTCCACCTTTACCCCATCCTTAGCTCGGTTCTCTCATGTACAAATCATGGTGTGTTTAGACCGAGCTTCCGTGTAGCAAAGTTCTGGCCGATCTAACCATAATACGTCGTGACCGGACTAACACTAAGACCGGACTAACTCCAAGTTGCCTCCGGACCGGAGTAGCTTTACATCATCTTAGACCGAAGTAACTTTACCTCTCTTGGGCCGGAGTAACTATATCTCTCTTGGGCCGGAGTAACATTACGGCCTTTTTACCCAGTCCTTCGTACTTTGGGCCACAAAGTCCATCTCACAGCTCGACCCAATTTTCACCAAAAATTACCCTCTCAGAAAGAGTATCTCCAACCATCTTTTCTAATTTTTTGATTTTTTGTATTTTTTGACTTTTTATGAAATATGAGTGAGTTAGATTTGAAGTGATGTGGTAGAGAGATGATGTGATTTAAATAAGATGATGTGTCTTAAATATGATAGTGACTTTTTGACTTTTTTTTTATTATGCCAAACTAGACCTTAATCTAAAAAGTGTGTTTCTGAACTACTTTTTTAATTATGATCTCCAACTATACTCCTAGCCTAGTATTTTTTTCTATATATATTTTAAATGTTTTAAAAATATTTTTTCTTTATCTTTTTTTATTAAAAATATTTTTCCAAACTCTCACCTCTCCTTTCCCTGAGAAAAAATATTTTTTAAATTATAGGGTAAATGTAAAAAATATTTTTAAAATTATTGGATAAATGTAAAAAACTAAAAATTTATTCCCTTAAATAAGGAGTCGAGTAGGCTAGTTAGAGCATCTCCAGCAAGGCTAGTTAAAATAGCTATTCAAAATTTCACTTTACTATTTTAGCTAGTCATTTTTTTAATATACACTCCAACAAGGCTATCTACTTTAGCTATCTTCTATTAAAATATTCTTATACTTTAACTATCTTCTTTCCAATCTAAAAAAAAACTAATTTCTTTCAAATTATTATTTTTTTCATTCTTCTAAATATAATTATATTTTTGTTAAAGTTACATTTTTCTACTATCGTATTTTTCAAATGGTCATATTTTTTCAACGGTCATATTTTTATACTTTTCCATTATAAATAAGACATTCCCTATCATTTAATCTTACCCTCAACTCAATTTTCTACTTCATCCAAACTTCCATATCTCTCTCTATGGCTTCTAATTCTCTTTATGATATGCTTGTAAATGACTCTGACTTCTCTGAATCTGATGATGATTTGGAGATGCTCAAAGCTGTTACTATGGATGAAGAACTACTAGATAGTGAGATAGGATCAAGCTTACGTCATGGTTCTGTTTGAGGTCGTGAAGTCATTCATCGTGATCATATTCAAGGTCATGAAAGGCTTTTTCTCGACTATTTTGTTGAATCGTCTGTATATCCTCCTGAGCTATTTCGAAGGAGGTTTCGGATGAAGCGTTCACTTTTTCTTCGAATTCAAGCTGCAGTAGAAGCGCACAATCCATATTTTCTCCAAAAAAGAAATTGTGCAGGAAAGCTTGGTTTGTCTTCTCTTCAGAAGATAACTGTTGCACTTAGGATGCTTGCTTATAGAGTAGCCGCTGATTTTATGGATGAATATGTGAGAATTGGAGAAAGCACTGCAATAGAAAGTTTAAAATATTTTGTTAAAGCAGTTGTTGATATTTTTTCTAATGAGTATTTGAGGTCACCAAACAGCAATGACATCGTTAAACTACTAGCGGTTGATGAAAGTCGTGGATTTCCTGGAATGCTGGGGAGCATTGATTGTATGCATTGGAAATGGAAAAATTGTCCGACTGCATTGAAAGGTATGTATACTGGTCACATTCAGGAACCAACAATTATTTTGGAAGCTGTTGCATCATATGATCTTTGGATTTGGCATGCGGTTTTTGGATTACCTAGGTCTCATAATGATATCAGCGTGCTAGAAAGGTCTTTTGTATTTACCGAACTTGCTCAAGGGCGTGCTCTTGCAGTCAATTACACCATTAATGGTAATGAATATACAATAGGATACTATCTCGCCGATGGTATATATCCACAATGGTCAACATTTGTGAAAACAATTCCTTCTCCTCAAGGAAATAAGAAAAAACTCTTTGCTGCAGCTTAAGAGGTGACAAGAAAAGATGTAAAACGTGCATTTGGAGTGCTTCAAGCACGATTTGCAATTGTGAGTCGACCGACACGTTTTTGGAATACTAAAATGCTTAAATATATTATGAATGCATGCATAATTCTACATAATATGATCATTGAGGATGAGCGGGATGACAATGGAGTAAAAGACTTCAATTATGATCAAATCGATGACAGTCCCCATGCAACAGTGTCACAGGAGAGAACTACTGAACTTATGGAATTCATTCAATGTCATCATAACATTAGAGACAGGCAAATACATTCTCATCTCCAATCGGACCTTGTCGAACACTTGTGGCAATTACACAGCGAGTCGTAAAAGCTTTGAATTTGAAGTTTCATTTTATGTAGCATGTTATTAGTTTTGAGTGTAATCGGTATATGCTTTTGATTTATGTGTAATTTTATAATTCTATATGCCTTTTAATTATATGGTTATCATTTTAATTCTATATGCCTTTTAATTATATGGTTTTCACTTTAATTATATGCCTTATATATATATATATATATAATTAGCAATGTAGAGAAAATACAGCACAAAATAGCAGCAAAAATACCAGCAAAATAGTAGCAAAAACACCACAAAAATAGCAACAAAACAGCAGCAAAATCATATCAAAAACATCTTCAAGAACATATAACTTACAAAGTCATATATTCACAATTGAAAAAATTAAGAATAAAGCAGCTGGAAATAGGATGCTCATCACTACTTCATTCATCAATTCCATGGCTAAATCAACACAAACCCTCAATTCCATGGCTGAACCCATATATTCACCTGTTCAGGAATATATTGCACCAATGTGACCAAACACAAAACTAATTTCCTTTAAAGAAAAGAAAAAGAAAAACAACAACAAATATTGATGTCAACTAAAATTGGAATAGGTTCTAGTATGAGATCAGTTCATCTAAATATGAACTATAACACTATCAGTTCATCAGTTCATCTAACAAATAAAATACTAGCAACCACAAAGCCATCATATATTCAAAATTGTCTCCAAGACATTAACGTTTAGAACACCAGAAGCAACAAAATCGATCAACCAATAATGCTTTGGTCCAGTTACATGTCGCGACACAGAAAGGTTAGCTATTTCAAATCAATCTTTGAACCGACTAATGCATATTTAATACAGATAATGGCTTGCAGCGGAAATAATAGTCAAATGGTTCCAATTATGTGCTTTCTTGAAATCCTAGAATGAGCCCACAAATGAAAAACAAATAGACTAACTTCAAAGGTTACTTTTTGTGGAAACAAAATCTACATATTTCAGAAAACAAATAATAACGCAGAATCATGTCCTCTTCTGCTTATCTACTATATTCCATCTCATCCACACGGAATCAATCAATAACTTCATTACTTGATATCAGCATTTTAGTCATCCTAAATATTTTCTTACTTCTACTTATAAATTATTTTGTTCTAAATTTCTTCCTTATCATTAAGAATAAATTTCCACGGTGCCACCCATTTATCAAGCATGAAGCCTTTTTGAATTATTATTATTATTATTATTTTTTTTTTATCAAGTATGAAGCTTGAATCATACAAGGAGGCAAGAGATTTATGAAATCATTTCTAGTTTCCAAAGACGTGCCCAGGAAACCAAATTCAACAATATTAAATTGTGTTCTATGTTATCCAAATCCAAAGAAGCATCAAATACTAAACCCAATTATGTTCACTCACTTCATTTTAGTAGCCTAAGTTTCTTATAAGCATTTTATCAAACAGTTGACAGGTCATTGTGCAACAACATTAAACTGTGTTCTATGTTATCCAAATCCGAAGAAACATCAAATACTAAACCAAATTCAACAATTTCAAATACATGCAAGATGTAATCTTTGATTTTTCATGAATACTTTTTACTATTAGCCAGAAACAAAGAAAGAAAATAGTCTGTATAAATTTTCTTCTCTGTTTCATCAATATTTTCTGAACCCATTGAAGATTGATCAATATTTTCTATTATCTATCAAAATTATACTAATAACATAATGGCATTAATTTTGGGTCAAAGTTCAAATCAAGCAAAAAACAAAATGAACAAAATAAACAGAAATGAAAAATTTTACCGCCAAAAACAAAGTTCAGCAGCCAAAAACAAATAAAAAATTAAAAGGTGCATGAACAGTTGTAGCTCACAATCATCTTGGCGATGCTTGGGCGAGTCTGCTGGAGCCATCGTTTATCCTTCCAAGCTGGCTATAGTAACAAATATGAAGGAATAAAAAGGCTTCTGGAGATGCTCTTATTGAGGGGAATTATTTTGTATTTTACTGAGTAGGAAAAAAGTGAGGAGAGAGAAACTATTGGAGATTATTTTGTGCTAACAATGTTGTTGCCAATTAACCAACCAAACGGGGCATATTGTGACTTGACGAAAATGTGGAGTTGACTTTCACAACTGAAAAATAATGAACGAAGTGATATTTGATGGAAGTTGTTCTTAGTGTAATTACATTCTTAGTGTTTATTTATTTGGCTTATAATTTTTACAACCAAAAAAAAAAATGAAATTGTTAATTTTGTTATGCTATGTTATTTGCATGAGTTGGAACTTGAGGTTTTCCTGAATTCTAAAAGATTTTGTGTGCAAGTAATTAATGGTTTTACTTTATTTCTTTGTTTTTTGGCTTGATAATTAATGGTTCTACTTGCCTTGATTGATAATCATGTATGTCTAAAGGCTTTTTTACGTTTCTTTTAAAATTAATTCGTGTTTGGGTTTGGGTTCGGGTTCCGGTTCCTGTACTGAATTTTGAATTTTGGTATTGGCTTATTGATATTACAGAGGTTCATTTACTTGCTAAATTGCTTCCGATTTTCGTCAATTACAGATACTTATGGTCCAGGATAAACCGTGAGGGGGGTTTTTGACTATTTTTATACCATAAGGTGGTAAAGCGCTTTAAGGCAAACCATAAGGGCTAAATTGAATTTTGTCTCAAAATATAATTATTGTAGCATTATTGATTTAAAAAATAATAAATGGTGCATCTCATCTCAATTGACAAGCATGTATGCCTCAAGTAGGGGTGAGCAGCGGATATACTGATCCGTCAAAACTGACCGAACCGATCCGATCCACCGTATTTTGGACGGATGGGTGGTGACGAGCGGATGGTTGCGGATTAATTTTCTCCACTCTGCCAATTTGGCGGACGGATGGCGGATTTGAGATTCCTTTGGCCGCAACCGAACCGCCAAACCGCAAGCACCCTTAGTAATTTATAAGATTTTGTATTTTCAATTTGTTTAAATATTTTGTTTGTGTTTTCAATTTTGTTGAAAAAAAGTTTTCAACTTGAATATATTTTTTGAATTAAAAAAAATAAACGTATAATTTATTTATATTTTTTGGTTTTTAAATCTAACTCTAAAAGTAATAAATAGAAAATATGATATATGTTGGTTGGTTTTTGTTTTCAAAAACATATATAAATGTAACAATACAGAGACATACAATCTCTACTACTGCTCTGTTCATGGTTTTGGTGGTTTGAATTGTTTTTATATTTTAGGAACCACATATTGTAATACTTTATGTGGATAAAGCATGTTGTGATTGTAATATGTAGATGAGACATGCAGTGATTGTGATATTCTAAAATTTCAAATTTTCTTTCTTTGAATGAGATATGCAGTAATTGTAATACTTTTTTAAGTCATTGACTGTAATACTTTCTTCTTCTTTTTTTGAAGAAGCGCACAAGTTGAATTATGTTGAAAATTTATAAAATTTCAAACCGCCAAACCGATTCGCATCCATCCGCCAAACCACCAATCCGCTCAATCCACATCCGCCGGATTGGCAGACGGATGCGGATTCATTTTCTCCAATCCGCTAATCTGGCGAATATGTAGATGAGACATGCAGTTATTGTGATATTTTAAAGTTTCAAACTTTCTTTCTTTGAATGAGACATGCAGTAATTGTAATACTTTTTTAAGTCATTGACTGTAATACTGTAACGCCCTCAAAATAACAACGTTAAACCCATCAATATAGACATGCATTGATATATAAAAGTTCCACATTCTTCCATTTATCAGAGTTTCATTACAAAAAGTATTACATGTTAACGACAAAAGCAAATGCCCTAAAGGCTTACAGCTTTCCAAGTTAGCACTTGGTTACAACAAAAGAGTACTAACTCATTTACACATTAAGCCCTTGGCTTGAATTTACATGTAATACATCAAAAACAAAACGACAAAAGTGTATCCGCCTCTAGCCTCCCAAGCTATGTCATTGGAGGTGGCATGCTACCTGTACCTGAAAATGATATTCCCATATAAGGTGAGCCACAGCCCAGTAGAAATACACTAAACCAAATATGAACAATGACTAAAAGATTAGCAGTTGATAGATGGCCAACACTGATACTTTCCCTTATCACACTTTACGGTTTCATGACATACAAGTCCATGTTACAATCCATTTTCCAATTCTTTTCAATTCTCAATTTATAACCATGGCTCAGAAACCTGGCCAAACAACTTATATGAGACAGTAACTCATATTAAACACTTTCCCATTTCATAATAGATAAACATACTAGCTATATCACACACACCAACAGATAAGCATACCAACTATATCATCACTTCCATAGATATGCATAAGAGCACTATCACACTTCCAAAGACAAGCATATGAGCTCTGTCAACACATTACTAGATAAGCATATGAGCTCTATATACGGAGTCCATCCCCTATCTCCTCCCAAACAACATCCGGTTTAGAGGTCCATCCCCTATCATCCCCTAAACCGTGGAGTACATCCCATATCTCCTCCAACACAACACAATGCATATAAACAACAATTATACACATCATCACACAATACATAAATTTAATGTATTCTTTCAACTTGGAGAATGGGCTTGGCATAGACATCACGCCCATCAGGCGAATGGGTTCCCTGAATTTGCTTCATCATGGCACTGTCATCAGATAATGACATCCGACGGACATTCTTGGCCAGTTGCTGCATTATGGGCTTCTTTTCCATTTTTTTGGGAATTAAGAAGGCAGGATGGGGATAAAATGGGTTTTTGTGTGGTTTTGCAGTGGCTCAGGGTAAGCTATACATAAGGACGAAAAGTTGGAATAAATTCTATAATTGAATCATGTTATACCTTGCTTGCCATAGGGTTTAAATTTTGTTAAATCCATGCTTGTCAGGTGGATAGAGATGTAAGAAAAAGGTAGGCCCATGATAACATTGTCTTTACAGAATTTAAGAAGAGGTTTCCCAAAAGATTAATGTTTAATGTTCCCTTAAGCCCTTTTTGAGGTAATTTGATTAACATTAACA